ATGATTATACAATGTTCAGCACCATTTCTGACTCCTCAGATACTGAAGCAGTCCATGTTCAAATGCAACGAGATCTGGACAATATCCAGGTTTGAGCTGACAAATGTAATGAACATTCGTGCCACACAAATGTCTGGCAATCACCTTGTCAAATTACAGACAACCATTGACATTTAATCACGTTACCATTACTGAATGCTCCACTATCAACATCATTGAGATTGCATTGATCAGAAACTTAACTAGATTCACCACAAACACACAGTGGCTATAAGAGCAGGCCAGAAGCTAGGAATACTGCGACTCAACTCCTGACTCCTCAAAGTCTGTCCACCATCTACAAGGCACAAGTCAGGAGTGTGATGGAATACTCCCCACTTGCCTGGATGGGTGCAGCCCCAACAACACTCAGAAAGCTTGACACTATCCAGGACAAAGCAGCCCACTTGATTGGCACCACATCCACAAACATCTACACCTTCCACCACTGATGCTCAGTAGCAGCAGTGTGTATTATCTATAAGATGCGCTGCAGAAAATCACCAAAGATCCTCCGACATCACCTTCCAACTCATGACCACTTCCATCTAGAAGGATGAGGGTAACAGATACGTGGGAACACCACCACCTGCAGATTTCCCTCCAAGCTAATTGCCATCTTGACTTGGAAATATATTGCCATTCCTTCACTGTTGCTGGGTCAAAATTCTGGAATTTCCACCTTATTGGCATTGTGGATCAACCCAAAGCAGGTGAACTGCAGCGGTGCAAGAAGACAGCTCAACACCACCTTCTGAAGGGCAATTAGGGATGGAATGGGCAATTAGGACTTTGTGCCTTCAAACAAACACTGTCTATCTGGAGCTGCCCTGCACCGTTCCTGACATTTTCCCTGGAAATGGCACGAATGAGGAAACAAGCACCCCACTCTGTAGGCAGGATCCTGGAGCTTCTGTTGACCTGGGTGGTGCAGAGGCTCTCCTTCACACAGGACCAGCAGTGGAGGCTGTAACATCAGACCATGCCAGCCTGGTCTAGGTTAACATCCAGGTTAAAGCAGTTGCAGCTGTGTGGAAGCATGACTGGCATTATAGGAAGATGATCAATGATCTTCTCTCCTCTGATGTGGAGATACCAGTGTTGGTCTCGGGTGGACAAATTTAGAAGTCACATGACACCAGGTTATATTTTGAAATCCCAAGTTTTCGGATCGCTGCTCCTTTGTCAGGTGGAGGAGCAGTGCTCTGAAGGCTTGTGATTTCAAGTAAATCTGGTGGACTATAACCTAGTGTCATGTGACTTCTGACATTCCTGCTCTGTAATCGTAAGTGGCATAATCTTCTCTCTGATTCTTTACACTGACTCTCGCTTTGCTTTTGTACTCACCTCCCAATAAGCCTCAATGTTTACCACTCACATTATTACCTGCAACATCATCCCCAATTGCATGCTCTAGCCCTTGATGCCTCCAGCTCTCCATGCCTTCTGCTCTTCCTACTCATTGGTTCTGCACACCTCACCAACTGCATCAGCAATTATAGCAGTGCGACCTATTTTCATCTCTTTTAATACCTGCCTCTCTCAGACTCTAAGAGTAAAAAAAACCTACAACAGAACAGAACAACTTGGGGCAGATGGTGTGCAGCCCATCATTCAGCTCCTCACCCATCCTGAGCAGAGGATCCTGACTCTGACCATCCTGAGCAAGCTCTGGCCTGGAGTTAGAGGCTGCACTTGCATTTCTGCAGCCCACGAGCAAAGTCTATTCCCCATGAGCTGACAGAGACAACTGACAACTATGACAAGATTCCTGGATTTTTTTTGACTGCACTAAACATCACAGCAAGATAGTAGTAATATGAGCCTTGTATTGATTGTTGAGGGGGCAAGGAAAAGCAATACAAGGCAGGGATGTAGTCAGCATCAGGCAGGCTCAGAGTGATTGAGCACAGTGACAGCAGGCAATAAGTTGGGAGTGCAGCCTGGTCCTGTTGGTGAGCTAGGTCCTTGGACTGAGTGCACAGTGGCCTTGCAGCAGCGTTACAATGGTGGCTACCAGTGCAGCTCAAAGTGCAGCATGGAAGTACAGAAGCATCTTGTAAGTGGATCAGAGATGTGCCATGAGGGTTCTTAGAGGTTGGCACATATTTGTCAAATTTTGTGGATGTGCAGTGTGTGGGTGGCTGGTGGCTATTTAGCGTGCCCTGCACTGCTGGTGTTTAATGTCTACCATGGAGGTCATTTGGAGCAATCCACCAAGTATCTGCTCTGAGCCACATGTTGGGTTTTCCTGATGTCTTGTTTGTTGGGCGCGTTTGGTAGGATTGCAACAGGAATATTAATGAGGTAGGCTGCACCATCAACAGTGAACTAAACTAACACTAATTGCTGTAAAATGGCATGTAAAAGTGTAAATCCCAAAAGGCAAGATGATCTCAATTTCAAGTTGTGCCATTCAATATATATTTCACCAAATTTGGAGGAATTTATAAAGACATACACCAAGATGGCCAAATCATATCTAAAGCGATATCATTACGCACTTGAGATACTTCAAAAATGTGGATATATTACAATAGATCAATGTGCTCACCTCAGCAATGAGTTACATGAATGTTTGTTACACTTCCTTGATGGTAACTATATTCTTTAGAATTAAATTTAGACTTTATTGTCACATGTAGTCAAGTACAAAAGTACAGGAGTACAGCGAAAAAATTATCAATGTCACCACACACAACATCATGTTATGTAAAAAGCTCAAGAACAAGGTAGAAAGAAATAAGGAACCAAGTTAAAAGTTAAACATTACAGTCCTTCTGAGTGTTAATTCAAAAAATAAAGAAATAAATCTAGAAGTTCAACCATTGCAGTCTTCCTTAAGTAGTCGTCATACTGGGACAGCACTTCCTACAAGGGCTCAATCTTCTCCACTTTGGCACACTTTCCCCGCACTGATTCGATCTCCTCTGGTCTCATCATTGCTGCAGATATAGGGGCAACCTCCATTGTGGCATTGGCCTCATTCCTGAGCTCTCAGACCACCAAAGTCCCAATCCAGGCCTTCAGCAGCTGCCACACACTTTGTACACACGCTGTCAAAGTCCTGATTCAGGCGCTGTCTGTGCAGGGGCTCAGCTTCGCCTTCAGTCCATCGCCGATCTTCGGTCTTGCCTTCGATCCATGTGCCGGGCATTGGAAACTCACTGAGCATCCTGGGTCAGGCCCCCAGCCACTGCCTAGGACTGGAGATCTAGCTGATTGCCAAATTCAGCGAGCCCAATACTGCCATCACCACTGCTGCCACTCTCCAGGAGGGAAGTTAGGAGAAAAAAAAGTAAAAAAAAAGAAAACTAACCTCTTCTTTAGGCAAGAAGAACAGTCCTCAAAATCTGATTTTGCCAATTCTTTGTTTAATTCAGTTAGACTTCTTTTACTCTGGTGCTATAATTGCTTTGCAATAAGGCTATCATAGCCATTCTGAGGAAATGTTAACTCTGTTTTTTCCTTCACAGATGCTGCCAGACCTGCTGAGCTTTTCCAGCAACTTTGTTTTTGTTCCTGATTAACAGCATCCGCAGTTCGTTCAGTTTTTATTAAGACTATCATATCATTTGCTTCTTGAATTGTTTGCTGTACCGTTATGCTAACATTAGGTGATTGATTTACAAGGAGCATCAGATTTCTCTGAATATCAACATTTCCCGAGTTCTCACTTGTTAAAAAATGGGCAAAAAAACTTTCTTATTCAAGGCATGGTAATAATTACTTAGTTTATATACTTCTCTCTATTACTGTTCAAAGGAAACAAGCTTCAACATTGATGATTGAGTATTATTATACGGTTCAGTTTATTTAAAGACAATTTTATAACATAGATAAAGGCACATCATCCAGTTCAATTGAGAAAGTTAGAATAAATTTAAGTGTACTTCTCCTCCTCATTAGTAAAAACACAAGCATATCCATTATAGATAATTAAAAGAACTTAGAGTACTGGGTAATCCGAGAGGATGGAAACACTGACTACGTCATGGGATTGCTGGAAAATTAAAGTGCTCTATGCATGCACTTGTGTAATTATAGTGCACGTATTATTTAATAGCATTCAGAATATATAATTTCATCTGTTGCTACTCCCAGCATTGATTTTAAAATAACTGGAATTGGGGTAATTCAGATATGTTGAGTAAATTAGAGATTGCAACAAGACATATGCATTGTTATAGATTCTTGAGTTAGGTGTAACTAACGGGAATAACAGCGACCTACTTTATGCTCATCCATTCTTCATATATTTAGCAACTGAAAAGAGACCTCTGTATGATGTATTTATTTCTAATTTGTACTCTGTTCTGTCATTCAATTGGCCATTTCAATTTCAGCCTGTTGATAGAATGCAAGACTATGTAGGATATTCCTCGTTCTGTGCATCAACAAAAGATTTATTTTCTGATGGTCGAATGTGATTATTTCTGGATATGAAATGGAAGAACCATCTACTTGTTGTTGCTTTTTTTGTTCAATAATTTGAAAAAAAAAAAAAAATTTTAAATTTTATTTTGACTAGGTTTTTGTTTTGGAAATAAAGTAGAATAGGTCGGGTATGTGAAAATGATTGCTAAAAATAGAAACTGACTTTTACATTAACTCTAGTTAACATTAGATTATCAACGAAACAAACAGACCTTATCTGCAAGCCCTGCAATTATTTTATGATTATTATGCTCTGTGCACTTTCTAGCCAGTCTCACTGGAAAGAGGCCCCAGAAAGTTAAGTATAAAATTATATCTTTTGGTCAGGAGCTGTGGAAACAGCAGGAACCAAGAGACAAAAGTATGGAGTAGACATCCTAAAACACTGTGTACAAAACTGGTTGCACATATTGAAGCTGATGCCTTTTCTGTATGGCTCTGAGATATTAAATATATGGAAATAATTTTACATAAATAATTATTGCATTTTTTCTCTCTTTCCCCTGGATATCCACCCATGTTAGGGGATGAATGAATTTCAGAGTTCCAGACCCAGTTGCTTGCTACAGTCCAGATGTAGCAATCATGCACAAAGAGAGAACATTTGTACTTGAGGGCCAGAAAATGTTTGAGAAGCTCACAGAAGACATGTCTACACTTGACACAGTGATAAGTACCCTTGATAACTGCTTACAACCAAAGAAATGTGTGATGATTGAATGATATACATTGTGTGAGAGATACCCAGGAAACGGTGAGCCTATTAAACAAAATGCGATAGCACTGTGGTGAATTGGCCTCTATATGCACATTTGGCATACTAACCAACAAACTAACTCATAACCAATTAATTGAAAAGATTTCAATTCCACACACAAGATAACATCTTCTCATGGAGGACAATGATACAACTTTGGTAGAAATATTGTGTGATTCAAAGACATTACACAGAAACACATCGTCAGACCAGGTTTCAGATATGACCTGTCCAAACAGTACAAGAATTATAGACAAAAAAGCAATCCTTGGTTAAGTATTGTTGAATCAATCCCTAAGTTGTGAAAATGTTAATTTATTAACAGTGCTGTATACAGCTCAAGGAAAACAAAGTAGAACTCATGTTTAAAGTCAAAGCATTTTTAAGGTGTACAGAAGAGAATACAATCAGTCTCACACATGGATGAGTCTCTGCCTGAGAACGAGGCACAGAATCATGAAAGTCATCTGCTCATGGTTGCTTAGTTGAAGTTTCAGTGTCTCTTCTAATCGAAGTTGATGCAAAATGATCTACTTTGAACTACAAACCTCACCATCGATAGCTGTTACAACTTTCTCAAACTTGCACGACAGACATTGTTTAATCTTACGATGTCTGAGTTATTCCAGGATTGGGAATGATCAGAGTTTCAGTATGCCACAAAAACATAATGTTAATGTAAGAACATAAGAACTAGGAGCAGGAGTAGGCCATCTGACCCTTCGAGCCTGTTCCGCCATTCAATAAGATCATGGCTGATTTTTTTCATGGTCTTACCCACCCTCTGACCATAATAATTCCTGTACTCTTCAAAAAATTATATACCTTAGCTTTAAAAACATTCAATAAGGAAGCCTCAACTACTTCACTGGACAGGGAATTCCACAGATTCACAAGACTTTGGTTGAAGAAGTTCCTCCTTAATTCAGTCCTAAATCTGGTCCCCCAAATTTTGAGGCTATGTCCTCTTGTTCTAGTTTCACCTGCTAGTGGAAACAACCTCCCTGCCTCCACCTTATCTAATCCCTTCATAATTTTATATGTTTCTATAAGATCTTCCCTCATTCTTCTAAATTCCAACAAATATAATCCCAGTCTATTCAGCTTCTCCTCATAAGCCAACCCTCTCAACTCTGGAATCAACCGAGTGAATCTCCTCTGCACCCCCTCCAGTACCAATACATCCTTTCTCAAGAAAGGAGACCAAAACTGTACACTGTACTCCAGGTGTGGCCTCATCAGCATGCTATACAGCTGCTACATAACCTCCCTGCTTTTAAACTCAATCCCCCTAGCAATGAAGGATAAAATTTTCTTTGCCTTCTTAATTACCTGTTGTACCTGCAAACCAACCTTCTGCGATTCATGCACAAGGAGACCCAGGTCCCTCTGCACAGCAGCATGGTGTAATTTTTTACCGTTCAAGTCATAGTCCCTTTTTACTGTTATTCCTACCAAAATAGGTGACTTCACATTTATCAAGATTGAATTCCATCTGCCAGACCTTCGCCCCGTTAAGTAGTGATATTCAATGATAGTAAAGGCAGACATCTTTTGGGGGTAAAACTTAAATAGGCTTAAAATGAACCTGCAATGATTGCTCTGCAGTACACATTATAATGATCAATAATACAGACCATATACACCAGTATCTTTCCTTATTTACCAAATTTAGTCAGATCAGGTGATTAGTCATGCTCATCATGCCAACATATCAATTCTGCTAGATTTTCAAATTTTAAGTTACCATTTGTAATCTGTGCTGAAGTGTGACAGAAGCTGAGTCAACTCAAAGCAGACAGTATCATTGAAAGAATTGGCACATCACCATGAATATTGAGACAACAAGGTGCAGGGCTGGATGAACACAGCAGGCCAAGCAGCATCATAGGAGCAGAGAGGCCGCCTCCCACTCTCTCCCTATTTATTTCAAAACCCCCTTCCCCTCCCCCTTTTCTGATGAAGGGTCTAGGCCCGAAACGTCATACTCTCCTCTATCCCTCTTCTATCCGCCTCCCACTCTCTCCCTATTTATTTCAAAACCCCCTTCCCCTCCCCCTTTTCTGATGAAGGGTCTAGGCCCGAAACGTCATAAGCCTCTCTGCTCCTATGATGCTGCTTGGCCTGCTGTGTTCATCCAGCCCTGCACCTTGTTGTCTCGGATTCTCCAGCACCTGCAGTTCCTACTAACCATGAATATTGAACCTAGTTATTTCACAATATAAAAATGATTCACCTAGACTATGCCACAATCTGAATGTGGGCAATGTGGGCATCAAAACACTCATTCCAAGTGAGTTTCCACTTCCTACCATCTGAAATCTATCAATATCATTTCATGATATCAAGGTCTTCATGAAGCTTGGCACGAGACAGAGGTATTTTCAGATACCAACAGAACAAAGCTGATATCTCACAGCATTTTTTGCTACACATTAAGGTATGTTCCAGTACTGCAACATGTCCTTTGGATTGAGTTCAGCACCTACAACATCCCAGAAGATTTGTTCTTAAATCTTGTCAGATATTTAGGGGCTGCATAACCTACTTGATGACCTTATTGCCCATGGAAGGGACAAAGCAGGACATGATCAGGGCCCTCATTTGATTTATACAATACAACTCAATATTCATCAAGGACAAATACACATTTGTGATAATCAAGATTGACTTACAAGAGTATACAGTGACAACAGCTGATGTAAACGATATTGAAGTATTTCAGGTTCCTCCAACCCAGTCTAAAATAAGAGTTAGCACTTTCCTTCATACTGGTCGTTGACTACAGCTCCACCTTCAACACTATTATCCCCTCCAGACTGATCACAAAACTGTGTGACCTTGGCCTCGGCTCTGCCCTCTGCATTTGGATCCCCTGCTTTCTGACCCACAGGTTGCAATCAGTGATGATAGGTAACTGCACCTCCTCTGCAATAACACTCAACACTGCAGCCCCCCAAGGATGTGTCCTCATTCCCCCCTACTGTACTCCATGTACACCTACAACTGAGTTGTCAAATTCCAAATGAATGCCATCTACAAGTTCGCTGACGACACCACCGTAGTGGGAAGGATATCTAACAATGATGAGTCAAAATACAGATGGGAGGTAGAGGGCTTGGTGACGTGGTACGATGAAAACAATCTGTCTCTCAACATCAGCAAAACTAAAGAACTGATCATCAACTTCAGAAATAAAGGAGGAGAACACGCCCCCATCTCGATCAATGGACCTGAGGTTGAGAGAATGAAGAGCATCAAGCTCCTCGAAGTGACGATAACCGACGACCTGTCCTGAACTTTCCAAGTAAATGCGACAGTCAAGAATGCACAACAACGCCTCTTCTTCCTCAGGCAGCTCAAGAAATTTGGCATGTCCATAAGGTCCCTCACCAACTCCTACAGATGCACCATTGAAAGCATACTGTCCTGGTGCATTAAGGCCTGGTATGGCACTTGCTCTGCCCAGAACCACAAGAAACTACAGAAGGTGGTGTGCACAGCCCAGACCATCACAGAAGCCAACCTTCCATCCATAGACTCTACTTACATGGCTCGCTGCCGTGGAAAGGCTGCCAACATCATCAAAGACCCATCGCACCTTGGTAATGACCTCCTACGACCTCTTGCATCAGGTAGAAGATACAGAAGCCTGAACACACGCACAAGCTTCTTTCTGGCCATTAGCAGACTGTTGACTGTTGAACTCTAGCTTCAAATAATATAACCTGCAATGTAACCTGTGTGCCTCCAATTCTTTTTAATCTGTACATCCTTTGCTTGCTATGGTCTGCCTGAACTGCTGGTAAACAAAGCTTATCACTGTATTTCAGTACACGTGACAATAAATAAATTAACATCAACATCAACTTTTATCACAAAGTTTTCCCTACATATGTGTAGATCATATATCTTATTTCAATGCTACTATGCAAAAATGTACAATAGAAATGGGCATACAGCAAAGAATATTTTTATATCTTGAAAGTGAAAATAGCACAAATCTCTGCCAGATGCTATGCATTTCGACTCATGTGGAAACATATGTCACAACAGGAAAACAGAAATGTGATTTTAGCTGTAGTTCACAGTTTATTAAAGGAAGCGAACAATCAATTGCTTATATACCGCACCTACTGCCGGACAGTGAATACAAATATTCTACTGGAGAGTGGGAAGCAGTAGCCTGCATCTACCCTATGGACATTGGCGCATGCAACTCTATGGTAGCAAGTTCACTCTGATCACTAACTGCTCATTACATTGCTAAACACATCAGAGTCTGGTCATCACATCTTTTCATATCATCAGATGGTCAGATCATCTTCATTCATGCAACATCAAGCTCGTGTATCTCACACGCTTACACGTCTGACATGATTAGTTGAAGAAGGATACAGACAGCCAGAAGTAATTTTGTGAAGATTAAGGATGTGTTAATGGTAAGTCAAGTTTTTAACAAGGAAAAAACTCATAAGACATTTTAAAGTAAATGAAGTTCCTATACACATATAAACTGCTTGTCAGCTCTGCAAAGATCTAAGGCTGTGATCTCCAACATGTCGATCACAGTCAATTGGTCAATTGCTTCGAAAGATCAACAGTTTTTCTCTAAAGCAGTGGTAAAGTGTAAAACCTGCATCGGGCAAAGAAGCATCATTTTGTATTTGTCATCTGTTAGCAGAACACAAGAAATAATTTACAGATGGTGAAGTATTTAAAGATGCAGTGATTGTGGCCACTGATTCTTTATTTAAAGACTTTAAGCACAGAAAGGAAATAATAACAGCAATCCAGAGCATGTCACTTACCGCAAATGTAATATCTTGGCGAGTGGAATCATTGTCTGCATATGTCTTTCAGCAACTGCAACACGACCTGAAGGACTGTGGCTGCTTCTCACTGCAGATCGATGAATCTTTCGACATGACCAAAACAGCCTAGCTGATTGTTTTTGTGTGCGTAGTTCTTAAGAACATAATAATCAAAGAGGAACATCTCACCCTTTTCCCTGTT